TAGATCAGGGGTGCCCAACCCTGCTCCTGGCGATCGACTGTCCTGCAAAGTTTAGCTCCAACTCTAATCAAAGACACCTGCCTTTAATTTTTAAGTGATCCTGAAGACCCTAATTAGTTGCTTCAGGTGTGTTTGATTAGGGTTGGAGCTGAACTTTGCAGGACAGTCGATCGCCAGGAGCAGGATTGGGCACCCCTGGCATAGATAAACAGCATGCATTTTGAGGCAATGCAGCAAAAGAACACTGAAGTTTTAGCAGTTTTTAAGTATCTTATCGGAGATCTTCTGTCCGCTTTCTTCTGCCCCCCCATAGCAATATCCTGCAGTGATCCCGGCACACCGCCATTTGCTGTCATGTCGGGCCAGAAGTTCACCACCAGAGCCGTGGTCCATTACTCCTGCAGCCAGGGCCGAACTCTGGTGGGGAATGCCACGCGCCAGTGTCTAGATGATGGCCGGTGGAGCGGCTCGCCACCCTACTGCTCAGGTACACACATCAGCAGGTGGCAGAGCCTCAGGGCGGGAGACTGCAGACCAGCCGGCTGATCTTTAAGCCTCTGTCTGAGCAGCTCAGCTTACTTCAGACTGTAAGAGCTCCAACAGATCTTAAAGTTTAAACAGTAACTACTGTTGACATCAAGTTCTTGTTTCCTCAAAGTCCAGATGATGTGCACATCACGCAGCTCTCTGACATTACATGTTTATGTGATGCGTTTATAAAATAATAACGTAGACCAGACTGCCCTGGACTAGAGCACGACAGTTTGGTCAGAAGAACACACATTAATTTCATTCATAGAGAAACTGATTTTACATTTACATTTAGTCATTTAGCAGACTCTTTTATCCAAAGCGACTTACAAATGAGGACAATAGAAGCAATCAAAATCAACAAAAGAGCAATAATAAGTAAGTGCTGTGACAAGTCTCGGTTAGCCTAACGCAGTACACATAGCAAGGTGCTTTTGTTTTATATAATAAATAAAAAGAAAACAAGTAGATAAAATAGAAATAGAATCGAGAGTGCAAGTGTTAGAGGGTAGGTTTTTTTTTAATAAATAAAATAAAACAAGTAGATAAAATAGAAATAGAATAGTGTTAGAGGCCCAAGTGTAGAATAATAATGCAATAAGCCCCAAGAAGCCATGGTTTACAGTGAATTTATAACAGCTAAGGGGCGTTGTAAAACCCCCTTAGCTGTTATAAATTCACTGTAAACCATGGCTTCACGGGGCTTATTGCTTTTATAAAACGGTTATTCCATATACATAGTAAGGTTTCACAAAATAAAACAGAGCAAATAAAGTGTAATGATATAAATAAAAACATTATTCTTCCGCCAAACAATGTAGTTCCTCAGAATCGGTTGTGGTTGCAACAAAGTGGTTGCCAAGCAACACACAGATGTAAACAAAGGTGTGTGTTTGTAGAGTAATTTACAACAGCTTCGAACATGGCTCAGCCAATCAGAATCAAGGACCGGAACTATCCGTTTTATAAATACAGTTTGACTACAAATTCCATTTTAGTACAAAATCAATCAAAACAACGTATCACATGTACAACAATACAACACGCAAAAATGTTACGCACAGAAACGATACACTCATCTAATGCTGGATATTCTGGATTTACTAATTTTTACAGCTAAGAATCTAGTTTAATTCATTCAGAACATGCTTTACACACTCTGATATTAAATGGCAAGTTGTTTATGTTCATCATTATTGATGTTTTTAATACAAACTAATAAGATAGATGACTGATTAAAATCAAAATTCAAGTAAGAATAAAGCAACAATTACTTTAATTTATAGCAGTCACATATACACATTTCTACCATGAGTTACAAAAGATTTCCAAATTCCTGTTGAAGAAGAAATCCACCAATCAGAGAAGTCAGTAAAAACAGGAACTGCCCCAAAAAAGCTCAGCAGTGACACCCACACCTATAAATCATTGAAAATATTGTATTCAAGTTAGTGTCCTACAACTTACATATTTGAGTAACACCTTACAATAAGATCCCATTAATTAAGATGAGTGAATGCATTAGCTAACATGAACTAACAATGAACAATATACAGTGTTTATTAATCTTTGTTAATGTTAATTTATAAAAATACTATTCTTCATTTTGTTATTGTTAGTTCACAGTGCATTAACTAATGTTAACAGATGCAACCTTTGAGTTTAAACGTATTAGTAATGTCGCAATTAACGTCAACTTGGACTGACATGCTGTAGAAGTACTGTTTGTTTATATAAGTGTTGTAAAGTGTTACATATATTTGTATATATCTGAAGACTGAAAGAAAACCCCTTTAAATGTAACATTGCTAGAAATAGAGTCTTATATTTTAGCATATTTTAGCCTGCTCTAGCTAACTACTAATGGAAATACAGGACGTTTTGACATGATTCAGAGTCTGAACAAAGGTTTTTTTTTATTTTTATTATTATTGCAAAAGTTGAATTGGTTTCCTTGTTAAGAGAAACCAGACTGAGAGGTTAAAATCAAGTAGTAGTTTGGTATGATTTTCAAATGAGTTGTTGCTTTGAATCAAATGTAAATTTAATGTTTTTTTCTCAGTTTTTGGTCTGCTTCATAACTGTTTATTTAATAGTTGTTTGAAATCCCTGTGGAGAAAAATATTTCTGGAACAGAGGCTGCTGAGAAAGTGGGTGGTCAATGAGAGTCATGCCTTTGTCAAATTGTAGGCGATAATCCGGGATTCTGTGGCGATCCGGGAATTCCTCCTCATGGTTCTCGTCTTGGGGAGGAGTTCAGGCATAAAAGCCTCCTACGGTTCACGTGCGAAGCGGGCTACGTGCTGATCGGATCTTCCGAGCGCACATGTCTGCAGAACGGCTCCTGGAGCAGAATCCAGCCCGTGTGTGAAGGTGAGTGTCACAGAGACACACAAGGTGAAATTCACCAGGATTTTGCTTTGCACTTGAGCTTAATTAGATCAGAAAGTCAAGCGTTCCTCCGAGCAAACTGTGATCCAGTAAAGGCAACGGCCTAATGAGAAAAATGTATGCTTGAGAGACTAGGGGTTTTTAGTCTGTGCCTTTAAAAAAGGTTTAAATATATTCTTAGAACCTAAAGCAGGCTCAAATTACAACATGTTCTCTTTGTTTCTGAACCTCACTTAACCTGCTCTGCTCATTCTTTTCCTGAATTGTACACTGTAATTAGTGTAAAATTGATCTTTTGATGCTAACTGGCCTAAAATCGGTAATTTCCAGTTAACTCAATGACTCTGGTTAGTGGAGCCACACAAAAGGCCTGTCATTAGCATGGTGCGTAATGATACATTGCTTTAGTAAGGATTTGTGAATAGCCTGCTCTAGCTAACTGCTAATGGAAATACAGGACGTTTTGACATGATTCAGAGTCTGAGCAAAGTATTTTTTATTTTTTTTTATTATTGAAAAAGTTCAATTGGTTTCCTAGTTAAGAGAAACTAGACTGAGAGTTTAAAATCAATAAAGTAGTAGTTTATTCTTTGCGGTTCCTAGACAATCTAGTTATTTTTGCGACTGACCTTATTGCATATACATTTGTAGGAGTTTCCCCTTCAGTTGCAAAATTTATGGGAGAAGAGTATTTAAATTAATCATGTAAGGTGATTTACTAAGGTTTGCGGTAGTCAGTTTACTGGTAATATGTGCCATTATTTAATGCCCAGAAAAAAAAAAAAACAATATATGTATTGAGAGGGGATTGTACATATTCATGTTCTTTGTCGTTTTCCTCCATATTTCCCAAATGCAGTCCCTGTATGTGTTTTTGATCACCCACTCTTGCCTGTCTCTGTTAGCAAATTGTATACAAATTAGTTTATGTATAATTTATATTTAGTTTAATGGAAATCAGCTAATCAAATTTTCTATCTAATTAACCAACACCTATGCATTCGTCAGTTTCATTGCACAGGTCCACTGTATATCTCAATCTGTAATTTTATTATTCTCAAATGAAAACAAAATAATAACAGCACTCAGCAAATAAACCTCCTGGAAGCTAGAAGTGGGAATCACCCCAGGAAGTATTTATACCATATTATTAGAGGAACACAACAATGTACCCAGTAGCTTAATGTGTTTTATCCCTAATTTATTTGTTTGTTTTCTGTATTCTGCGATAATATACATTATTCAGGGCACATTCATAATTGAATAAGGTTTTAACAGATGGCTGTGAGAGATGGCTGTGGGGGGTAACTCAACGGTGAGCTTTGTAAGGATACAGACAATACTTTCCAGATACTAGATATAAAACACAAGGCTGTTGCCACTTACAAATAATGACTTAAAGTTTGGAACTATATCTGTTTACAGCAGCCCTCCACTGGGATCCCATTAACTCTTAATTGGTCCAGTTTTTCTCTATTTACTTAAGTTGTATATTATTTAGTCCAAGAGGATATGAGGGCCAAATTACAGCGCCAAAGCGTGATGCTAATAAAGATTAAGTGAGTTGTTTATGTCTCCAACTATTTCAACAATTTCTGCTGATTAAAATAACCCAGAGAGGGTAAAATTCAAAGATAATTGTAGAAGTTTTTAGTATCATAATGATTTCTTAACTATAACCTATCTGACAACCAGTTGATCTTCAGTATGCTCTTGGAGCATAAACAACACTCTTAAATTCTTGTTTCTTCAATAGAAATGAAAATGAGTAATTTATATATAATTTATAGTTGCGCTTTGTTCATCATAATTTAGAAAGCATTAGTAAAAGCTGTGCGATATGGACACCCGATGTAAGGTGTGCAATTCTAATATTACTATTTGAAGGTACCAAAAAATAAATGAAAAAATAAAGTTGGAACTAAGTTGATCTACCCTGCTAACAACACTGCAAAACACTCTTAATGTATTGTTCTTTGTTTCCACAATAGCAGTCAAAATGTATCATTTAAATATTATTGGCTGTTGCACGTGAGTCATCATAATTTAGAAAAGCACTGGTGAAAACTGTCGTAGGGACGCCCAACCAATTTATGGCTGTCAAGCATGTCTGTGCTATTAGAATTTGAACTCTAATTAACCACACTGGAGCGTATCATCTTTACTTCCCTTATCTGAAAATGCCACTTCAAAGTATAAGGGGGAAAAAAAAAACTCGTCAAAAGCTCCAACTAATTAGAAAAGGAAGTTCATCTACCTTGCCAACAAAACTCTGCAGGCTGTAAAACACAGGGCTTGTGGTGTAATTGGAAGTGTTTTGCTTGTGGTGCTAGCCCTTAGATATGTTTCCCAGAAGCTCTTCTCTCTCGATTGTGTTTTCAATCCCGCAGAGCTGCGATCTTTTACTCCTCACATTCTCTCTTTAACTTCTTTGGTCTATGATTGCCTTCCCAGCTGTATCCTGTGGAAACCCTGGAACGCCAGCCTACGCCAGGATCGTTTTCAGCGACGGTATGCTGTTTCCTAGCTCAGTGACGTACGCCTGCTGGGAGGGCTACAAGACCTCTGGCCTCACCACTCGCCATTGCACCACCAATGGCACCTGGACCGGCTCAGCACCAGATTGCATTGGTTAGAACCGCAACCTTTACTCTCTTTGATTATCGCTAAATTTTTAGCCTTCTTTTGTAATTACACAAGCATTGCTTATGTAATGTACCCTGTGTGCTTCAGGAGTTGCACTGGTGGTTGGTTAGTTCTGCCACAAGTCACGTAATCCACCATTGTTTACACAGATTCAATGCATCAATTAAAGTCTAACTTCTTCATTTAAAAAAAAAAAA